GTGCGATGCCTTTGCAGTGCTCAAAGCAAATAAAAAAAAAAAAAAATATTAAAAGGCCGTATGCTCAAAAATAAACCGAGAATAAGTGACTTAAAAAAAAAGAAAATTCCCAAGCAATTGTTTATCCCTGGGACAAATATACAATCCTAGTTCCACAGGAAGATGTCTCAATTTCAGATTATAATAGGATGCCAATTTGTAAATAAAGGCATTTCACAGGAGGTTATAAACTCTCTGCGAGAGGGAGGTGGAAGGAGGGGGGAATGGGGCAGGTCACGAAGGTGCGAGGGTCCTTCGGCTTTAGTGAGAAATCCTTTGTAGCAAGCCCATGAGATGGGGGGCTTCGAGGGGCAAAGAGCTCCGGATTTGGACAAGGTGCTTCTTCCCTGGCGAGCAGATACCAGCGGGGATCAGAGGCATAGTGAAACATTCCCGGCCTGCCCGCGATTTCGGAATGAAATGTCACTCAGCCAAGCGGTCCCTTAATCCAGACGAGGTCCCACCGCTGGGAAAGCCGGGGCAGGGAGCGATGCTGATGCTTCTGCAGCCTCCGGAGGTCTTTTCCCATCTTTTCAGTGCAGGGGAGGTGGGAGGGAGAAACCAAGGAAGAAGAGTCTTGCATGTCTCCCAGACTCAAGCCTTGCAGAGCCTTGGTAAAGTACCCACCAAGCACCATTGCTCAATGTCCACTAGCTCCAGGAGACCCTGAGGTGGTTCCAGAGTCAGGGCAAGCCAATGAGATTGGACTGAAATCTGGGTAAACTCTCGGGTTTGGTATTTCATGAATAACCCCTATAAATACGGAAGCAGCGGAGGTGGTGAGGACACAAGCCAGCTCATCTTGCTTTCCTTCTGTGATGGGCTTCTTGGAGAGCTTTGCTTTGCCAGCAGATCCAGCACCATTCATCTGTCCTGCAGGAGAGCCACCTTCTCGCCCACCACGGCCTTCCATCAGCCAAGAGCCACAAGCCCCAAGCCACACATGGGTCAAGAGGAAGATGTCCGGGGCTGGGTGGAGAGCGTCCCATGGAGACCTAGCACCAACACCATCAAGCACCATCAGCTCACTCCTACCCTCGGAGCAGAGCTGTACGGGAACCCAGCTCCCACTGATCAGATGCCACCAGACCACAGGCCGGCCACCTCCAGGCTCTCCGAGCACAGCTTTGCTTGTTTGAAAGAAGAGTCATCACCAACGACATCTGCTGAGAACGAGTCAGCTCAAAATATAGGAAAAACACCCTCCTGTTTACGGAACTTATTTTTATCTCCAATGGGCTATTTTTGCTTTCTTCTTTAACCATGTCGAGGATACGACGGATCTGGACTGGTAATACCTCAGCACAACCATCTCAGTGGGAGACACCATAAGCAAGGAGTCCTGACCTACCCATAGAATGACCACCGAAAAATAAAAGATGTAAGAAAATAAATAAGGGCAAGAATATGGAAGCGAGAGCCAGCGCCTCAGGGGAACGAGGGGTGCATCAGCCAGAGGATGGGATGTCTGGGTAGAGACAGTGGAGGTAGGATGAGAAGAGGACACCAGCATGGCATGAAGAACTACCCAATACTGCATTCCTGGGCCAGGAAGGAGAACAGAAAGCGGAGGGAGGGAACGAGTGGCTCAGATCAGTTATCCCAAGGGGTGAACACTCCCCGTACATCCCCCCCAGCCGCGCCACTCCCCCTCCCACATCCTCCAGCGCCTCTGGTATCCATCAGTGAAACTGCCTTCAGCCTCCAGGAGGAGATTGCGACCCCGGCGGTCGCCAGACCAGAGACTCCTCCTCATCAAAGGATCCTCATGGGAAGCTGCAGGGCGCTCACTTCCATGCCATTTTTAATACTCCTCTTGCCATCATCCTTTCAACCCCACCATGCGGTTTCTCCGCCAGAGTAGCTGTGAACCCCAGGCTGGCCCCATTCCCAAATTCTTGGTGCTGAGAGCGCTCTGCCTCACTAAATCCTGCCCTTCCCGCTTCCAGACGTTAGGGCAGGTCTACTCACTTTGAACACCACCACTACACCAGCACCCACTGTCCATCGCTGGTGGCCAAGGCCCATGGTGCTGTCGGAACCCACCACCACCATCCACCCGTGCTGTCTTCTTCCTCAGCCTCCTGCTCCAGCTTCTAAATCTACCAATATTAGGGTTTTTTTGCTTTTCTTAAAGCCATCCTTTCATCAAGGAAGCGCACATCCAGCGTCTACAGCCCTGGTCTGGAGGGGATGAGGGATGTTGGATTCTCCACCCAGCATCACCGATTCCCATCTGCCCAAACTTAGGTGAGACCAAGCCGAAGCGCTCCCCACGTACCGTGCCAATAACTCATTAAAGCCCTCTTCAAATACACCCTTCTGCTAACTAAAATATGGGGGGGGGTTAGGGAAAAAAAAAAAAAAAAAAGGAGAAAGTGAGCTTTGGAGGATTGCTGCAAAGCCCGTTTATTTTCCTTTCTCAACTGGGTCTCTCCAGTTGGGAATTTTCAGCGCTGCACTTCGGCGCGCAGAAGGGAGATGCCAGTAAATCAGAGCAAATTCAAAACAAATGCTCTTTCATGTGGAGGCATTCGGCTTTGTTTCAGGGCTTGGGTAGCTAACCGTATCCCTTCATGAGTCAACTCTCCTATCAGCTCCTCATTAAACTAAATGGCTACAATTACATTTGGGGAGGAAAAAAAGAGCGGGTAATGATGGGAAAAGGGTCTGTT